CAACAGAAAGCCAATGTTGCACGTTCCATTCGTATTAAAGCCGATGAAGCCAAATCTGTATTTATGATTTATTATATATTTTTTTATTAATATAAATTTATAAATACTTATTTACATGGTTTCTAAATATTTAGAAATTGGAAAGTAAAAAAGAAGAATTAGATGAGATCAAGGAAAAATTTGATGAAAAAATCGAAATTATTAATAAGGTTAGAGCAATTGAGGTTATATTTATATTTATCATTATTCTCTTAAAATTAAGTCAATCTGTTTTTAATGACTGATATACCCTGAACTTTATTAGTTAAAAATCCAAAACCAAATAGAAGATCTTGAACGTAATTTGACAGAAAATAAACAAAAAGAAATTCATTAGCGAAAATCTCTTAACCCCTTCACTTCATGAAATTGGGTAATGATATTTTTAAAATTATCATTCTACCATTTATCTCATTGATAGAGGTGACGAGGTGCAAGAATTTCAAATCTATACTGATGATGAGCTCGATGCAATGGACAAAGATACATTACAAGGAGAGATTGATATTCTTAAAGGTATTCTAATTATCTTTTTTATATTCTATTAATTCTTTATATCTAATTATTATTATTTTTTTTAAAAAAAAAAAACTCTAGAAAAAACCGAAAACGCCAATCCAAATCTAAATATTTTGAAGGAATATAATATTTATGAAAAAGAATATAAATTACGACAAAAAGATTTGAAGAGATTACATTTAAGCGTAATGAATGTAAAGAGAATTACGATAATTTAAGGAAGCAAAGATTGGACGAATTCATGCATGGATTCGATATTATTTCTCAAAAGCTTAAAGAAATGTACCAGGTATCTAATGACATTCTTTATCTCATTCTTTATCTCAATATATGTTATATAAAATATAAAAAAATTAGTTGTTTTTAGAGGATCGTTTTTGGAGGAAATGCCGAGCTTGAATGCGATAACTTTGATCCCTTTTATGATGGCGTCATTTTTAGCGTTAAGCCGCCGAAAAAGAGCTGGAGAAAGATCTCGGATTTATCTGGTGGAGAAAAGGTATTTCGTATGTTCTTCAAAGTTTCAATGTTTCAATTTTAACTATACTTGATAATTATTGAATAATTATTTTACAAAACATAGACACTTAGTTCTTTGGCTCTAGTATTTGCTCTGCACCTACACCCATATATGTTATGGACGAGATTGATGCGGCCTTGGATTTTCGTAATGTTTCAATCGTCGCAAATTATATCAAAGAACGTATTAGGGACGCACAATTTATTGTTATTAGTTTACACGATAACATGTCTGAATTAGCGGATCATTTAGTAGGAGTATTTAAAACTGATGATCAGGTAAGATTCTTTCCTTGAAACTATTTTTTTTTAATAAAAAATATTACTAATTTTTATGAATAATATTATTTTAGTCAAAATCTGTTACTTTTAATCCGCGTAAATTTCAAGAACTTACATTAAGTAAAATACTTGGAAAAGACCCATTAAATAAAAAATTATGTGTATAAGACTTTTTTTTTTACTTTTAATAATTTTAATAATATTATATGCATCATGACTTTCACGTTCCTTAATTAAAAGATTAAAATTAAGACCATCTTCTGTTAAGTATGAAATATTTGAAACAATAAAAGTAAATTATAATTAAAAATTATGGTATCTTAAACTTACTAATCGGACTAGATTAAATCTACTTGTGCTTGCTATTCATTCAAAATTTAATCAGGTGACCTGTCAGGTTGGCCTGAAAAATCCAGGTTAGATTAACCTGATATCAGATCAGATCAAAGAATTATTTTGGTGTTAGTATTCTCATTAAAAACACTTTACCAATCATATATACAACTATGCAGGCAATCTTAGAAAATATATCTATATTAACATGCAATTCAAACTAAATTTAAAATTAGAGTTATCAATATATATTTATCCTCTGATACTCAACTTTGTACACAAAAATTTAAAGAAGTTACTAAAATTATTTGATAAGCCCTTTCCTTGAATATAGGACTAGTACTTTTGGGCAATTTTAATGCAGTCTCTAATAGATCAACCAATCTAGCAAAATCTAATGATTTTTCATACTACTTTAATCTTATAACATATTTAATACTTGTGATTTGTTATATAATAATGCAAAATTTATTCATTCTTCATTTTTCCATAATCTTTGTCTATACTATTATGTATTAATCATATTTATATTTCTTTATTAATTGCATCTAGTATCACATCATCTCAAGTTTTTTTATAGACATATAGCTTTCAGATCATTATATCTTCACAGCCAGAGTTATCATACCAGAAATAGTCAAAAGAATAATATTACTAAAACAGGAAAAAAATTGATATTTCTGTATGATAAGATTTCAAATACTAATTAATTTACGTTTGCAGAAAAGACTGATGTCTTACTAAATTCCTATTATTTATTGAATATGACATTTAAAAGATTAAATTTAATTTATACTTTGAATCTTTATTGAAAACATATACAGAACTGTATTATTAAAGCTACAGCAAAAACCTTATCACATAAATTTTCAGCTAACTAAAATTATGACCTTTATTCAAAAGTATTAAAAGAAGAATACAAGTATCTTTTTAATTTCCAAAAACTAGAATAACTTACCAAACAAATTATTCGTTTTACATTATTAAGGAATCTTAGCTCCTACAAAGTGAAATTTTTCTCTAACCAATTTAATTACCTTTAAGAATATTGTCACAATGAATTTTATTGTTTTTACTAATTTCTTATTACTAATTAAGTTCTTATTAGAAATAGTTTCTGCTATTAAAAAATTAAAAAAAAATAAAATAAAAACTAAAATTATCAAAGAAACCTTAAAAAACATTGTATCAAATTTCAAACTAACCAATCAAAGATAATAAATTCAATTTTTAAAAGAAAAAGAAGTATCATAATGCTTAACTGCTATCTCAATAATTCATCAAAAGATTTTGGCCTTTTGATTTTAGTCAAGAATTTCAAAAGAGAAATAGAATATTATTTTTAATAAGCAATAGGATTACAAAATAATATTACTAAGTTACTAGATGAATGGATACCCTTCTACAAATCAATTAAAGAAATTAATCTTTTTATAATAACTTGATAAAAATTTCAATGAAAAATGAATAGACACAAATCATTAATTCACTTTTTAATGAAAAAGCTTTTGATCTTTCCAAAATTTCAAATGAAATATTGAAGCACCTTAGCCTTAAAACACTTAAAGCTTTTTAGACATTTGTTTACTTATCTCAATCTCTCTCTTATTTCTGATAGATAAAACTTGGTATGTATATATTCTATTGTAAAACCAAAACCATAAAAATATAATCTAAATAATATTTATCAGATCATACTGCTTGTGTTCTCAAAAAATGTTGGTAAAACTAATTAACAAAAGATTACTTTTTATACTGTTATCTAATAAGATTTTAAATGAAATTAATTTTGCAAGACTATCTTTTACTTGATATTTGAACTCATTAATATTCTCAACAATTTAATATATGATTATTATTAACATAAAAATGAGCAACTTTAGTTTTATTTCAAGACATATTGAAGGTAAATGATCATATTAATATGACAATATTATAGAGAGCTTTCACATATATATTTATTAAAATTATAAAGTAAATTATTACTTAGTTAAATTTAAAATTAGATGAAAAGAAGTAAATAAATAACTTTAATATTAATATTTATTTTTATTATTCAATTAAATCTTTTAATATATTATTTTTTTGAGATTTATAGTAGATTAAAATATATTATAATATATTGTAAAAGTTATTTAAGTAATAAAGTTTGCTTTTTTTAATATATAATTAAATTTTTTACTTGATAAAAATATTTATATCTAATTAGAAATCAAATATTTAAATTAACTTTAAAATATCACTTATTATTTAGATATTTGAGAAAAATAATATTTGATATAGAAATAATAATATATAATTTTTTGA